TTTTTAAAAGTAGAAAATCAAACCAGAAAGAAGACAATATAAAATGTATATTACTCTATATAAATTAGAAGAATAAAAAAAATTAGAAGAATATTTTTCAAAGAATTTTTTAAAATTTTCATATTGCACATTTACTTTCTATTTCATTGATGCTTATTATAGGCCTATTATCTTTTTTCTCCTACTTTCTTTGGGTTTAATTTGCAAGTATTTCCTTTGTTTCTTGAATGAAAGCTTAGATATGCAAACTCATCCAAACTCACTGTCATTAAGTTGATTCTGACTCATAATGCCCCTTCAGGACAGGATAGATCTATCTATAAATTTCCAAGACTGTAAATCTTTTAAGGGAGTAGAAAGTTTCACCTTTCTCCCTCAGAGGAGCTAGTAGTTTCAAACTGCTGACTGTGTGGTTAGCATCCCAACATGTAATGCACATGTAACCCACTGAGGAGCCATCATTTACAGCAATCGTACAGGACAGGATAAACTGCCCCTGGGGGTTCCGAGGCTGTAGTTTTTTAGAGGAGTAAAAAGCCCACTCTTTCCCTGCAAAGCGACTTTTGGGTTCATACCAGAAGACTTTGCAGTTAGCACTCTAACATGTAAGTACGAGGCCTCCTAGGACAGAGTTAAGGGCCCTAATTTATAGTATCAGTAGTGTAGCAAACATAACTAAAATATATAAACAACAGGATAAACTAGACAACTGGGACCTTCTAAAAATTAAACACTGATCAACTCAAGACTTCTCCAAAAGAGAAACTGCACACTGGGACAAATAACTAAAATTTATGAAAAGCTTCAACAACAGAAAGACACATACTCTACTTCAAAAATGGGCAGAAGACATGAACAGACAACTGACCAAAAACGACATTCAGATGGCTAACAAATACACGTAGAAATGCTTACAATCATTAGACGCTATCCAACACATTGCTACTGAGTCAATTCTGACTGATAGCACCTCTTATAGGAAAAAGTAGAACTGTAAACCATAGGTTCCCTAACTTATTGGGTTACTTCCCCCTTTTCAGAAAAAACAATAACTCAGTGGCCCCTGGCAATGAAAAACTTTTCTATGCTAGCCCAGGCATAATCCAGGGTAACGTGTATATGTCAGTTTCTACAAACCCCCCCCCCATATTGTTCCAGCACCGCCCCCCAGAGGGTGGGACAATATCACTCACTTTATGTAAAATTGCTGCAAACCTCTGTAAAAATAGACAACCTCAGGTCTGTCTGGATAGGACAGGCTGGATGAACAAT